GTAGTGTGATTTAAGCTCAGAAATACCCAAGACCTGATTTTCTTCTGATAATATTAGACATTTTGATCTACAGGATTCAACTGCTACAGATGTCAAGACAATATGAAATCAGATGTTGTACAATGACATATAAACTTAACAATCTGAGTTCTATAGTAAATTAGTCTGAATAAATTAACAGTAAATAAAATGGAAAGAATTATTTCTGTCGATAATACAAGATGTCATTGCTGATAAATGCATATTAGCAGGAAACACAGCTTTATGGCATCTTATCAACTGGTTTTATTCACTGTGAATGCACAGTAAATGCAACTTTATTTGAGGAATATCGATGAGACATAATTTTGACAATAACTCAGTTTGTGGAAATCCTCTCGATAAACTCTCTTTTACTAGAAAATACATAATTAATCTATTGAAAACTAGAATTGTGATTTATGCATCAATTTGTTTTATCTAAATGCTTCGTGTAATGTTTACTTTATTTACTCCTGAAACGTTTATGAAAAGAAACATTTTTATTATAAAAACACTAATTAAATTACTCATTAATAAATGAAAACATATAAAATAAAGTATGGAGCTAATTCATTCGAGCGAAATTACAATGATGTCTTGTATAAAACAAATGTGTTTATCTAACATATATAGGATTCTATCAATACCTGAGATCATGAGTCAATTGAAGCTAGATCACCATGGGAACCCTGAAAGAACTAGGTGACCGTTTCGTTCCAGTGAAGGACTCCTCAGTAGCGTGCATCCACGATCCCGTCTCTCGAGATTCGAACCCAAGACTTATCAGTCTCGCGCGAGAACGCTTAACCATTAGATCACGAAGCTGGCATTCAACGGTGTTAATTTCCAACTTTAACTAATCGCCGAAAGTGACCGACTCATCCACCACTGTCTTCAGTGAGTTACTATCTCACAACAGTCCAATGTGACTAGGATTAAGCAACTATTCAGCAGACTTCCTTATTATCTAAATGTATCAGTTTTATTTACAAAGCTATACTAAATGCGTATTTTGAATTCTCGGATACTGTTATTCATTTCTTTCCAAATCTATTTACTGTTTTTATGAATCTACTTTTTTAACAGAATATATTATGTTTATTAAGTAACAAACTATTTAATTCATTTTAAATCTTGATACATGGAAAGAGAGCTTAACAATTATTCCCCTCCATAAGTTTGCCATATATATAAGTAAATAAAGAGAGTTTAGAATACTTTCTGTAGGCGTTAAACATTTTAAAGTAAAATAATAATAATAATGAGTTAAGTCATAATATCAGTCTTGTTTATAAACATGTTATCATCTATATTGATTCATGTGTACTGTATCGTCGAAAAAGACTTTAATAAGCACAAAATATTCATTCTCCAGCCAATTTAATTAAATGTTTTTATTGCTGTCCAAGACTGAATAAGACTGAAATGAATTTTACTTTCATAAATAACGCTAAATTGTTATAATTTGTAGTTTTTCTTCGTAAATTATAAAGAACGGACTGAACAAGATGCACACATGCCAACAATAGATTTGTAAATTTAATTTCTAAATAGCAACGGGAAGATACAAATAAATAACACCAAGTAAACTCCACACCATTGAACAGGCAGGTGGTAATCAGGACTCAGTAGTCAAAAAGATAACGCAATGACGTTTGAAACGACCAGTACTAGGTTCGAGTCCTAAATTGAACATCAACTCTGCGATACAGGTACATCCAGCGGACGAGTCTCAAATAAGACGAAACGCCCTTTCTGAATTCCACTACTAGCCTCTATCTATCTTTACTTGTGAAAATACTGTTTATTTTCCTCATAAAACCACTACTTGGTTACAAATACTACGTTAAAATATAACGTATTGTTTTATTACATTATCTAATATTTACGGAAAAAAAAGAGAGAAAGATATTCATTATTATTTCGATTTTACATTTTGATGAATGAAACTTATTTCACTGTATACTTACAATTTCAATGGATAAGGAAGTTTTCCATTTATCAACTTAAGGTAAAAAGAATATAAGAAGATAAGAAAACTTGTCAAAATTCTTATAGTCGTTCTTTCTTTTTTATTTATTCAAGAAAGAATTAATAAAATTACAAAGATATTTCTAATTCACCTTTTAGTGAATTGACTGTAGTTCTCATAAGTTAAAACAAAGATTATGTAATAAACAATTCTGCAAAGATATAAATTTATTGTTATTTCATGAATCGTTGGAAAAACTTTACGCCTCTCCATTTCGGTCTATTTAATAGATTAATTGAAGAAAACCATTGCTAAATAAATATGAAATCGTGACTTGGTACAAAATGAAAACAGTATAATGTCACTATTGTTCTCTTGATAGTTTTCTTATTGAAAGGTGAAGTCATCCAAGCATAATTATTGTTTATTTATTTAATGTTTACAATTCATGTGTATTTTCCGTAGACAATCAAAATAACTACTCAAACAATTATGATAATCAGTTGGTTTGTAAATAAAAACAAAAAACATGAAATTAATCATTAATTTCTATGTTTATTATTTATTTACTGGGTCGTATAGGGTCGATAAGTAGAAGTGAAAATAAATAGAAAAGTACATAAACTATTCGTTTTCACAAAACGGTTTTCTGAGACTATTATGATTAGTTATAAAATGTATTATTATGTTTATCTATAAAAACAGGTATTCAGAAGTGGGCACAATCGGTATTCAGTGAGTAAATTGTTTTGAGAAAGGATGTAATTCAACGAATTTGTATAATCAGTATTAAACTATTATTTCTGTGACGTATTTCTTTCATCTTTTTATACTTTATTGTGTCATGATAACGTTATTATATTACAAAACATGTAATCTGTTTTTTGTCTTTATTTTTAATATTCTAATCTATTGAGATCATGAACAGATCAATGTTAGACCACCATTGAAAACCTGGAAGCACTATATGGCCATTTCATTTTAATACGGGACTTTTCATTAGCCCGCATCTACAAGTACATACACGAGACTTGAACTCAAGACCTTCGGTTGAGTTCAAATGCTTAACCTCTTAACAAATGATCTGGAATCCAACTTCAATTAATCCATGATGTTGTGGTCTAACAGTGATCGGTTCATGACGGCAATTGAAACTCAATGATCTCCACAATCCTATACTGATATTTTTATTTACTATACGTATATTTTCTAGCTAGCTGAGGTCATTTTTTAAAATACACAAACATTCCAAACTTCGTAAATACTTGTACGGTTTAGACTTTTTAAAATTTGATCTATTACAATATATTTCTGATCATTATAACCATATGGTATTATTTAACACTTTATAAACATATAAACTGGATTCTACCAACGACCATAAATAAAATTATTATAACTTTCCTCAATCTACTGTTCTGTCTTTAGTGACAGTTCAATACTTACCGAACTCTATTTGTACGAGAGTGAAGTACTCAAACCCTTTTAGCTTGGATTTTTGTTTACATTTGTTAATTCTCTAAAGAATACTTGATAATTTTATATGAAAACCCATCTAAACGTAATCATATAAAACTCAGTATGTAAGTTAATTCATGCAGTACATACATCCTATTATTATTTTAAATAAATTTCTCTATTTATAATTTAAAACATGGATCATCATTTTAGAGCACATTCTCAACAATGAATAAATGGAAGTGAATACTTAGCTGTATAACAATAATAAATGAATCAAGGAATTTACCCATGTAGATAAACATTTATCTTTTATGATTAAATGTAATTTATAATCTAATTTTAATTTGAACACGTACCACATTTTTGCAAGATTGTAAAATGTTAAAAATAATTATCATTTACAAAGTAAATATGGCCATAGGATTGTAGCGAATGACAACACAATTGAGGACAATCGAATGCATTGGAACACAAAATTATGGAACATCTTAGTAAAACCTGAGGATCACACAGAAAGTACTTCATTTGAAAATTGTCAATCAATTGTCTCATACTTTATTGTTCTTACATTCTTATACCAATTGCTTTCTATTCCCGTTCTTTTCTCGACCTTCTGCTGCCAGACACTCTATACTACCTATGTCGATATAAGTAGCACACACCCCAAGATTGGCAGATTAAAATCCATGAAAAACCATAAAACTATTCAAAAGCTTATATTTCTTTCTTTTTCTAATAAACAAATTGATTCATGAATATTTTTTTGACAATGTTCCTTAGTCATTAAACACTTTTATAGAAAATTTTGTTTTTAAACAATGCGACTTTGTATGAAGTCAATAGTAACAATGAATTAAATGTTGATTAAGGATAAAGAACAATCTTAATAAAAGAGATGAAGATCAAACAAACTCTTTTATCAGCATGAGGTTGTGGAGATTAACAAGTTAGTGATTGAGATCTTTAACCGATTGATGTTAGATCACCATTGAAAACCTAAAAGCACTGAACGGCCGTTTCGTTCTATTGTGAGACTCCTCAACAGTGAGCATCTACGGTCCCGCTCGCGGAATTCGAACCCAGGGCCTTCAGACTTGCTCATTAACGCTTAACCTACTTGATCACTGAGCCAGCATCTGATGTTTTAATGTCTCACCTCAATCAATCCAATGGATGCACGCAGTATCTTCATTAAAAAGTAAACAACATGAAATGCTTACTTATTACAAAAGAACTTTTAAAACAGAACAATCATTGAAAGATTATGATGATAAATTAAACTGTTTGTATTAGATACATGTTTAACAGTAAATTTATTTTATTTTACATTCTGTAAATAAAGATCTAACATTTCACAAACGTTTTACAAGCATTTAATATATGGATACATTTTTTTCTTTGGTTAACTTATGATCATTAAAATGGTACATATAATATAGAATAAACCCCATAGAGATTAATTCATAACAAGTTCCTTTTTGAATGAAATAACATCTCACTATTCTGTGTATTTATTTTTTCTTTTTGTCAATATTTTCTTTTCTAGACAAAGTACGCAAATAAAAATGAAAACACAATTATCTGAATTATTCATTATAATGGTGTTAACTATTTTGATCTTATCATTGGTTAACGTATATAGTTTATCTGAAGAACAAAGCAAGTTATTCATTTATTTATATCATTAAAATTGATTTCTGCATGTATTTCGATAAAGTTGAATATTAATTTTTTCACATATTGTTAATTACGGTAGTTCACATTGCTAGGTTTGAAGCTATCACGATTTCACTTAATCTATGGACGAGAACAAAGACCCAGTGACCAAAGACCAGTAAGCTATCTATTTGATTCGTCCCAACCCCGCTAACTAGAGGGAGGAATCCAAGCTTGGAATGGGCAAGTATATTCTGCAAACAGCCAGAAACGAGCGATTCACAAACACAATTCATAACATATATATATATATATAATCGATATTGCCATGGAGGTTTTTTTAAACATTTAATCGATAAGAATACTTTAGTTAATTAAAAATCATACGGTAAAATATACGTATAGTATTGGTTCACAAATGGATCCCAAAAATTACCACTCATTATTCTTATCGGGCCATAACACACATATAGCTTATGTGATCAATTTTAGGTAAGTTCTAGGATTCTCGATCACAAAGTAGGGCAAATACTTTGATTAAATAGAATCTATCATTAGATTTAATGCAAACTGAAATTAAATAACATTTTGTATGGTCATTTACAGTGAATGAAAACTGTTGTATTAAATCATTATCAAGGTTCGTCTTAATAAATTGAGGATTGAGTAGATTGTTATAAATAAAAATAATATGTTTGTAATATACCAATGAGTGGAAAAATTAGATTTTCTGACATCTCGTGACTTAGTGTAGAATATTCTTGTTGTTCTGCTGTACTATCTAAACTTGGATTAATTTTAATTTGGTTATTTATTCTCTGAAGAATAGGTCGTTAGTAAGTCACGAAACGTCAGAAAATTTACTTTTTCTACTCATTGGGATAATACAGGTATATTATGTATTTACGTTGTATTAAATATTGAAAATAGTAATAGTGTTCTTTTTGAATGAATTGTATTTTGAACATAACACAATAACCTATCAATAAGAATTTCGAAAACAATGTTTTAAGTTCGTCTAAACTTGATCGAATAGTTTCACAGTATTTGGGCACCGAATTATTGTGAGACATTGAGGAGGAAGAATGTATTTGTAAAATATTGAAAAAAGCTTGAATCAGATTACTAGGCGAAACGTTGAATCGACTTCAAAATTCATTCTCTGAGATTTTACAAATTCATTGTTCCTCTTTAATGGTTGACTTTGTTAACATATAACTTAAATTAAAATGATCATTAAATAACATGCATTGATTTCATGATTCATGAATGTGATAATAAATAATCAATAGGTTATTTCGATATGCAGCACATCCGTTACAGTCCTTATTTTATACAAAGTTTTTTTTAATTTTTTACATTGTTCTAAATTTTTATTCAATGAATATTCAAGCAACTATTTGATTACAATATGATGAACATAAATAGCATTGTAGTGAACACGAGAACACTAGTGGAGACAACGAAATTCATGTTAATAAAACATGACAGAATATCTTGCTGAAATTTGAGAACCATACAATAAACACTTGATTTACAAAATATCCATCAATTGTATTCCATCGTTTGTTCCTTCGTTTTCACATTAATCACTCTCTGTTCTCTTCTCTTAGATTTTCTCAACTTTCCTCAGCCAGGCATTCCAATTTCGATTGTTCATTCATACTACTTATATATGTTGACGTCAGTTTCACATATCACAATGCTACTGGATTTGCCGTGCTTTCTAATCCGTATATATATATTGCATTTCGCAGTTAATGTTTTTTTAATTTCTTTGTCACTTACTTCTTTCCCTCTTGTGACTGATTGATCTCAATTGTTTCATAAGTCATCGTCATTATCTTAAAATTTAACTTTCTGTTGTATTTAACTTCATATGATCAGGAACTTTTTATTTCTCGTGAATGACTTAAACATCATGGTTGAGGTTTTAACGTTCTAAATTTGTGGAGCTGTTACTCTTGTTGCATAATTTGTCTTGGTTTGTTTGATTTGGCTGTTCATCAACCTTATCCTCAATTTCTGGATTATCCTTCAACATTTCGCTCAGCTGATTTCCTGGTATGAGTGTCATAAATGAAGGTTTTTAACATAATTTACGTTTGTAACATTATGAAAGATTTAGCTTTAGAGTTCTATTGACTAACTACCGTTTCGCTATATCGGTATTCTAAACAACAGAATTTCCTTTATCTTGATCTGGATACCGCTGTAGGTATTTAATAGTTACGCTAGCTTTAAAGTTTAATAAAATGATGAAAAATGTGGGATTTTTTCACCATTCATAATAACACTAATAAAAAAATGATGAGCAATAACTTTTTTTCACCCAAAACTGATATAATCAGAATATTTTCGATTTAAATGATGGTGTACTACCTTAATCCAAAATTACTGTATTTTCTCCAGTTATCTACCTATTTGACTGAGTTCAATTCTTATCAATATTTTACATTAGTTACACATTAATGTAAATTTTCAGTATAAATTAAAGGAAATTGATATCACAATACTCTATCACTTTTCAGTAAGCATAAATTCACTTATACCTTCCGTAGTGATGACATAGGGAGTAAAATAATGTTTTATTCCTCATTATTCCATTCAAAAAAACTGAACATATACCTTTTATAAAATGAAATCTATATAGGTTAGCAAATATATCGTTTATATAGTAATAGGAGATAAAACTAATGAAAATATAGATACATTATTTATTAAATTTATTTAAAAGATCTACAACATTTAGGCTAATGTAATTAGCAGTAAAATGATGCGTTTTTTCCCCCACTTTAAATGAAGTCTGATTCATTTTATTGTATAGGGATATATACATGAAATGTATAGTTACTAGTCTTAAGATTTTAAGAATAAAGGTTTTTGATACAAATATATAAAACATTCCTAATACATGGTTATTCTATTCATACTAAAGAAGAGTAGATAGTTGTCTATAATGAAAGCTTTTTTCCAGAATAAACTTCATTAACAAAACAAAAGTATTTTCTAATTCAATATTAGTTATAAGATAAAGATACATCTATTGAAACTTCAATCTAATAATTACATTATGAACCAGATTCTTTCATTCTATAGTTTGTATATCTAATAACTTAAACGAACCGTAAGATATATTTTTCACATGATTCAGTAATTATTTCTTTCAAATATTTACTATAGACAATAATTCTATGGATACAAATAAGAAATTCCGTTATATCTTCATATGTATAAAAGCTTAAAACACCATCAAAATCATCCACCTGAGCTACAAATCTTCTCTAACATCTCAACTTCATGTCAACTAAGTTAAATTTATAATATTGAAAGAAAGAAAGAAGTAGAAAAACATGTTATTTTGAATTGTCATTTAGACAAATATCAATACTGAAGATGTTAAATTGAATGTGTTTGATTCTAATGAAACTTCATATGTATTAATTAATCAATTTGTTGTGTGGATTGTAAATAATCCTATGTCAATTATAATCTTTTTTTTCTAGGTTAAGAGTTTATTACTAATTAGTTTCTATGGTTTTTCAAGTACTGACTAAATGTCAAATTTATAATACGGTACACATACATTGAATGACATGAATTTAAAATAGAACTAAACTTTTGATATCATTTTGTCGCTTATCATTTAAGTGTTCTGATGAAACATTCAATTGGTTCATATAAAAAACAATTTACGAATTTTTTGTTTTTATATACATATGAGATCAAATTATGCAAAGTGCATTTCTTATATTCTATAATTGAAGGTAATCAATAGAAAAGTTCACTATTAAAATGATCTAATTTCCCTGGAGAAGTAAAAGGTATCACTCTATCAAAGAAAAAAATTGAATTCACTAAAACAATCACTTTCATTATTCAGTTATCAAGCCAATTTTCAAACAACTATCTTATGAAGCAAAGATGCATAGTGCCTAGCAGTGGAATTGAGAAAGCGCGTTTTGTCCTATTTATGACTCGTTCGCTGGATGCGCCTGCATCCCAGAGTTGTTGTTCTTTCTAGGACTCAAACCTAGTACCCTTCGCTTCAAACACCATCGCGTTATCAATTTAGCTACGGAATCACTCGCTTTCGCAATGGGGTGGAGTCTAAATTCACTTGGTGTTGTTTACTTGCATCTTCTCATTGTTATTTAGAACTACAATTGATCACTCTCTTGTTGGCATACGTGCATCCTGTGCGGATCGCCTTGATATAGCCTTAAGTCACAAGCTTCTTATGAAATTCATATCTAATTATGTAAATCTACCTTTTAATGATAATGATTATACATTGTTAGTAATATCAATAATAACAACAATCGTTAACAATAGTCAGTTTTATCTTAGCTAAAATAAATCATTAGTAGGACTGTAAACAGAAACGTGATAGTAATTACGGATTCCTTTTCTTCATTATATAATTCACCTTAATGTATAGGGTCAAAGAAATGAGATAAAAATAAACAAAAAAGTAAATAAAATGAGTATTTCTCTCTAAACTTCACTGTTTTATATAACAGATTCTTATTAACAATCTATACAACAATAAAATATGAATAACCTTGTTAGTTTAATTGTTTTTATTTGTATAAAATATACATAACAAGTGTATAGACATGTGTACAGTGTTTAGTTCCCATATATGAAATGTTGATACATCATCTACTTATATTATGGATGTTATATATTATTGATTGCAACATTTATAAAAACTAATTATATCCAAGTAATTTACAAATGAATTTTTATATTATTCCCTAAATAGTCAACTTGATAATGTTTGATTTAGCAGTAAATGTTTTACTTTTGAGTATTTGTTGAAAACGTTAGTCCAAGAGTTTTGATCTGATTTAGAGACGTACATTCTGTAGTTGATTTACATTGATGAAAGGTACAATAGTTATTTTAATAAATAGAAAACTGTAATTTATTGACTTTTAACTTTAGACTGCGACTGTTGAGCCTAAATCAAATTCGATCCACAATGATGATCTTTGTGTACTGTCACACAAAGAATGTTATGGGAATGAAGGCTTGTTCATTTTTACTACAATGACATCTTAGTATATTTTATGACTTTTAGAAAACCATACCACATACAATTTTTACAATCATGAAATATTGGTCGCATAACTATGAAATATTCTGACTTTTATGCTACACTATTAGCTTTTATCTGAAATACATTTCTTATGAGACTACCAATCAGATTATCATTAACTGGTTGCAATTATTATGACAATTATATTTATTCAAAATAACCGCATATATCTGATTTCGCACCTAAACGTGATTATAAATATTAATACGAAGGTTGGACATGCTAGTTTAAAATAAATCGAGAATCTGTATAGAGAGTAAATAATAAATATATTATCACTATGAGGTTGTGAATATTGTTGAGTTTTTTTATTGAGATCATGAATCGATTGATATTAGACCACCACTAAAAGCCTGGAAACAGTAGACGGCCGTTTCGTCCTATTATGGGACTCCTCAACAGTGCGCCTCCACGATCTCTCACACATGATTAAACTTGTGTTAATGTAATGTCGGCTATTTGTTTACTCTGAAGACGTGGCTTACATTAAGTCATGAAACGTCAGAAATACAATTCTTCTACTCATTTGGATATAACAAAAATATATTTATAGCTAAATATGAATAGTAAGTTACATTAAGCCTTCGTTGATTGCTGTAAATATCTTATCATTTTTCTCATATAAAAATTTAATATTATATTTAGTAATACTGTAAATATAACACTGTTCAGCAAAGTTTCATTTTCAATACTGTTTTTAATTACCTTTCAGATCCTCATAAACAGTTCTATGATCCACTTTATGAATACAGTGACTACATCAATCGGGAGATAATTCCAAACAAACGTTATATTAGATTTGGAAAACGAGCTGATGATGTTATGAATTACGGTGGTATTCCAGCATTAACACGGCATAAAACCTACTCTATATATGATCTCTTAAAAGAAAGACAATAGAATTCTTAATTAATGCGTTTTTGTTTCTTTTTTCTATTAAAAGAATAAAAGAGTTTTATTAAGAAGGCAAGACAAAATCTGTGTCAATATTTCACTTTCTGAACTAATTGTGACTTATACTTTCCTAATAAAAAAAATACTACTAAACATCATATACATGAGACTTGTACTTTTTTATTTTCATCTTTATTAGGTCTGAAAGTAACAACATCATAAGGTAAGCATACGAAACCAGTAAGTGAAAAGTCAATGATTATTTAGTTCCATTCCAGTAACCAGTAATGGATGAAATTTATCGATTGATATCGAAACTATTCATCGTTAATAAGTATTTGAAATAAATATTAGGTTCCTAAGAGAAATCAGTAAAACTTCTTGGTCTACAAGAAATCAAGTTTACTGTTTACCTATTAAAAAATTTCATCTTTATGAATCTCTCAGATCTCTTCATTTAAATCTTAGGATAAAAGAAAATATATAAACATTTTGTTTACTGTTTCAAGGATCACTTCAAACTAGTAATATCATCGTTAATAATACTGAGTGTGTTTTATTATACATCATTTAATCAAACATATTGATATACATATTTGAACGTGACTAAAAATAAAAGGAAGATTTTCTTTTTCTCTATCCAAAAGTCACGATTTATTTGAAGTTATGAATCTTAACAAATCACTTCACCTGGTTTTTGTTCAAAAATTGATGATTTTATAAATCCAAGTACATGGACTAATGACAACAATTTTATGTTCATTAGTGTACAATGTGAACATCCAATAATCCTCTAACTTTTTTCTTCTTTTTTTCAAGTTGGCAACACAATAAGATTAGAAGAATGAATTCGAATTCAGTATCAAATTAATTTACTTTCCCTTTTATTTGGCGTATCTAATATTCCTGAAAAAGATTTGTTAATAGAAGTTAATATGAAATATGCCTTGTCTGTAGATTGTGTCATGTATAGTCCTAAAAGGTTAAACATACAAGTTAAGCAACTCCAAATCATATACTATTGAGCATCGGCTGTAGTTTATTGTTATTTTCGGCATGGTTAGACTATATAAAATTGCAATAACAGCTGATCATACTTTTATTTGTAACAAAGTACTTATCTTGACTCTTATCACGATCAAATTTTAGTAAGTAGGAAAGAAATAAGGTATGAAAAGTCAAAAAAAAAACTTAAATACAAATGAATGAACTGTGAAGTAACAAAAATAGTTAAAAAAAGGTACTACGTTTACAAAAGCATTACATAGATGTGAAGAACGGTAATATGAAGTCTAGTATTGAAATCAATAGAAATTGTGAATGTACAGAAGCTATTGGCCTTAGTAAGTGTTATTTAATGTATCTAACGTTTAATCACTATTGTTCAAGAAGGATTACCACAGCGAGTTATATATCTGTAAAGTGACTGGTCAAAATGTTATGAAATTCAAATATAAATAACATTTTTTAAAATAATCGGTGAACGTGATCGGCAACTTACTATAACACATAGTAAAGTACATAAAAATAAACTTGTGTATAAAACAGATTTACCATCTAATATGCTGCGAATTAGCTATTCTATAGAACAACTAAGTTTTAATCATTAAGTTTTTCTCTCTAACTGCATTACATTCGTCGGTCTCATCAAAAGCTAAACGCATTTAAAAGATATTATCAGATTTGAATTACCGGGAAGCGAACTGCTCTCTCATTTATAACGTATATGGAGTAGGTCGGTAATTAATAAACTAAACTTCTTCGACCACGTGTTAGTACAAATAAATCTTCGAACACCAGTTCTTTGTATTATAAACCATAAAATCACATTGAAATTTACAGTATGAAGCTTCGAATATCCTGAATCAAGCTTAAATTGGGTGAAATCAGTTTTGTAAATAACATATGACATGACTTGACACAATATTGAACAGTTCAACAAAGCCGCTGTCTTGCTAGAGAGAACGTTAACAAAAAATTATTTCTAGATAATTCGATAACAGATCTCCAAGTTTTTACATCAATGAGAACCGTTTATTAGACCGACAAAAAGATTATGAAGAGAACCAAATATTTATGACGTTTTACAATGTGGTTGCAGTAACACTGACCATTAGAGATCTATGTCTCAAACAGTTTGTATACTAAATAAGTGCTTTTTTGCCGTTATCGTTGCTCTATTATCTCTGACTGGAATTGATGACTTATTACATACAGATTATTCAAATAACAGGTCAAAACGTTTTTAAAGTAAAGAGTGAAACTTAGCAGGTTATAAAATTATTATTAATCTTAGTAATTAAGCTAATTTATGTGCTACACAAATTAGATATGGTCTCAATATTCTTGTTGTAATCTCTGGTATATATATGTACATATAGTAGGATAATCCGTTTGTTGGTTTCCACATTTGATTACGTTTTTGTTGATGATTTTAATTTACATTTTCTGACGATGCTGTGTGAGTGTTAGCCTCAGATAGCAAACTTACTTCACTCAATCTTATGAAAAATGAAGAGTAAAATTACGAAAGAAGAAAAGCCAAACATTATCAACAAAATAAACTTTTCCAACTGCGAAAAACACTACACTGGACAACTTGAAGACTCTCGTCATTCTCATCATTGTGAAAACCAACTGGCTATAAAACACCATGATGTACCTAGGCTTATAGAAATGCACGTGGACACACGTTCGACTAAGAAAATATTGAAATCTTGGATAAAGGTAGAACAAAGACGACCAGAAAAATCTTCTAAGTCCGGGAAGTGGGTCAATCAACAATCATCGAAACTTAGAAATCTAACCAATTTATCGATCAATAAGAAAAATCATGGACAAATGTAGGATCACCAATCAGGTCAAGAAGAAAGATAATCAAAATAGATTTTCTGACAAAGGCATCTTAACGGTCAGTAACAACTTAGTATAGCCATGTTTGACAACGAACGTTGTCAGTCATATGTGTTGAAATTCGAATACCTCGATTTTTCTTGAGAACGTTTTTTTGTTTATACACAAAACAAAGAAACAAATTAACCATATGACTTGCAATTCGATCGCTAGTCACTGTTTATACTCAAACGAAAATCTTTCGTTAAATTTTAACTTATTACTTAATATTAGAGAAGTAAAATATCCTCTATACAAGTGAATGAAAAAAGAATCCGACTAAATAGGAAGAAAATATTTTAATCAAGCGAGAATAGACTACAGTCATGAGTCCATAAGTCAATTACATTTTCTTATTATTCAACGTTTAATTAATGTCAGTCTGCTACAAAAACAATCATTAATTTCATTGTCACTCTCCTATCATCAGAAAAAGGAACATTTTATGGTTTTCTTGTTGAATTATTTTCATTTTAGGCCGGAATAAAATATTATTTTTAATATGATTTATAACTTTTAATTTATTTTGTGGAGATTTTAGTAATTTTATCGTTGATTTCATAAGTTAATTGAAGCTATGCCACCATGGAAAACCTGGAAACACTGAACGGCCATTTCGTTCTGTTGTGGGACTCCTAAGCAGTTCGCACCAACGATTCCGCCTCACGAGATTCGAACCCATGACCTATCAGTCTCGCGCGCGAACGCTTAACCTCTAGACTACTGAACCGGCATCCAACAGTGTTAGTGTCTAACTTCAATCAACCCACGAAGTCGACCCACCATCCACCATTGTCATCAGTGAGGTACCATCTCACATCAGACTCAGTTGAATTCCACCGGTCACTGCTTCTCATTTAAAACCATAACTATTCAATAATTTGCATTTCCTCATTCAACTGGTCTTTATTTATATAAGTATTTGTTTTTTTATAAGAACAGTATTTTCAATTAAAATAAGTATATCACGAACTTTTATTTGACCTTTTAGCATATTTCCGAAGTTCTGTATTGCCACATTAAGAGTATCATTTAATTTAGTAAGCTGTTATTACTTCTTCAATAAGAAGAAACTAATAAAAACTTCGTAAATATTTTTCATTTATAATGAATCGTAGTTTCATCTTTATTTCACTGACTTCAACGAGTGCCATCACTGATCAATTTTTTGGTCAGAATTTAAAAAAAAATAGTGTTTTATTACGGACATATAACTAATATGCTACAAAATTATAATTTGACCATTGACCATTTGTAATTAAACTCATATTGAAATACAAATCAATCATTCTTAAGATCATCCGTAAATCCTTTGTGTTATTATGGTAAGTTTTAATCTCCTAAATGATTGAGAAATGTAAAAGCAATAAGGAAAAGACTGAATTAGACTTTAAAAAATTGTCAAACGTTTTCGTTATTCAATAGTTGTTAGAACAACTATGACTACATTGTTTTCTCAAAGGCAACATTAAGAAAGTTACTTTTGTTATTTTACTGGAATGAATTATCATATATTGCAATTAAGTAGTTTCATAGCATATGCTTTAAGAAAAGTCATTTTCCGTTTTTGTATCGATTTGTTTGTTGATGAGTTTTAGAAGTTCTATTGAGAAGTAGTGATAGTTGAAAAAAGTTGTCAGAGATGGTATAATACGTTATTTTAAGATGTATATAGGCAGATTAGTGAATTCTAACTACAACGGTTATTCACTAGCAAACAGATTTAAATATTCAGAGGTCGGTACATTAAAAAGTAGCAGATGTACACTGTCTAAACTTGAGAAAAACATCTTTCTAGTAATGTTAAGTTTTTAATAGTGATGTTGTGGTGTGTGCTACGTATATTGACACAAGTAGTATATGATGCTAGTCGTGAACCGAAGGTCTGGCAGCAGGGAGACAAGAGAATCGAGCAGTAAAGAATGGAAACAGGATGCAGTTCGTATAAAAATGCAAGAACAATAAAGTCTGAGTCATTTTGAGACAATCGATGGACATTTTGCAAATTAAGCATTTACTTTATGATTGTTAGATTTTATTAACAAGTCCTGTAATTTTGTGCTAAATACATTCGATTGTTTCCGCCCGTGTTCTGTTCACTACAATGTTACTGATACGAATCAATGACGAAAACTACCTACAAACATATTTTTCGATAAAATACATTCTCTATATTTGTATATTGTGCATTGATTTATACTAACTTTATTGATTTTCGTTCATATAGTTAATTTCTATTTGAGTCAACTGTATCTGAAATATTCGATAAATCGAA